TACGCAGTAAGCAAGCTGAATGCCATGTTGCCAGTAAGTCCTTACATGGAATTCATAATTCTTTAGTGCTTCTCTAGTTTCCCTGAAAACAAAGGAGCAGCGCCAAACAAAATAATACTCCTTCCGTCCCAAAATAAGTGTCGTTGACTTAGTTCTTGTTCCAGGTTGTGAAGCTATGACATTTCACATATTGTTATGATTAATGCAGACGGCACCGAGCCTGAAACTGCTACCAGAAAGTGCCCGCATCACTTGTACAGAGTACAAAGGGCTGATCGACAAGGGGGAACCTCACGTGCTGTTGGATGTACGGCCTGCTCATCATTTCCAAATAGTTTCACTTTCCCGGTCTCTGAACATACCACTCTCCGATCTGGAGGAGAAGCTGCCTATGCTCGAGACCTCAATGAAGGAAACCTTGGATGCCTCCGCCGTCTCAGATAAACAGCCTTCCTTGTACGTCGTCTGCAGAAGAGGCAACGACTCACAGAGCGCTGTCCAGCTTCTCCGCGAGAAGGGCTTTCACTCCGCCAAGGACATAGTCGGTGGCCTGCAGTCTTGGGCACATGACGTCGATCCTGATTTCCCCGCATACTAGCGAAGTTCATTTTGGGCTTATTGCCGAGGTTCCAGCCTTAATACTGGGCATGAACGTCCAGCTTGAGACCGTTGTTTTGTGTGGCGTTGCTTACTTGAGCTATCTTGTAATTTGTTGCTGTAAGTCTAGAACTCCGGATTGCTACCTCCAAAGATCTTGTGGAGTTGTAGTAAGACACTGCAGCAGGTATACATTCGCGAGGCGCCTTGGTGAAGTTTCTGTGAAAGGTGTTTCATGTTAACTTCCGGTTGTCATCGTCGAGGAGTATTACTGTTGTCATTATGCCTGAAGTGAGGCGTTCCTGACTGTTTTTGTTGCCATCCCTGATGGTTTCTAGCCGTCAGGGAGATCATTTATTCTGTTAGTATATCAACTTTCTTTGAAACCTGGTCCAGCGAGAACATAACGAATAGCGCTCATGTGGTGCTGCTGCCATTGAAGCGCAGCCTAAAAAGTTCGGACTCCTTAGTGGGTTACACAATTGACATGTACCGTGCCACAAAAATTTGAGTTCAAATTTGTAATAAAAAGGATAATTTCTGTTGTGAATAGACTAACATATTTTGTGAATAGTGTTTTCGCTGTTGTGTCCATCTCAAAAATTTCTTGTAGGTTTCCTGACTTCTCTGTGGAATTTTGTAGCATGGTAGATACTCACCATGTCGATACATTCAAAGTTGTATGCACTTCTGAATTCTTCTCCCATTTCGTTACACTAGAGATTGGTGTATCTATCTAGTAATACAAGGGGGTCAAATTCAATTGAAGAAACAAGTGTGACTTCCTGAGATTAGCATCATTTCTATGCTTATTTGTTGTAATAATTCCTTGTGTCCAAGAATACACATATTTCCTGGTAGCAGTTTTAACAAAAACATATTTCTGCCAAAATTGCTTGCTGTGGCAATCGGTAACAGTTCCTTTTGTGTCTGGGTCCTCCACAAACTTGTCACCTTCATATGTAATCACTATTTTATCACGGTTATTTCTATAGATACTATATAAAAATAGCATTACATAAAACTTGACACGCAGTGGCAATCATATGGCTCCAGCCATCATGTCATACCATGAAACACATGTCATGTTAAATATTACAACATATATACATCTAATGCAAAATTTCATCAATATGATGAAGACTATACCACATCACATGCAACCGGCAAAACCAAGTTAGACGCCTCTACTCGGTTTATACCAAAATTTATTGTACGTGCCTTCTATGGTTTTAGTGTCGGGAAACATAATAGAAAACAAAAAAATCGCCCTACGATCACCCAGGAACAATATGAAGATGCATCAATGGTTAAGATTCAATCATTACCGACTCCGAGTAGCAGCGGAAGTAGACGAGTCGGTATACATCATACTTGGAGTCCCTTGAACCATGGGTGAACGATCTCGCAAACCTCCCACGAATAGTCCCTCGAACAGAAGACCAAAAGCACGGCCTCTCCACGGACTGCAAGCGTACGGTCTTCACGATCCGTCAGTGTTTCATCGTCTAGAGCTAATCGTCGTCGAAGAATTAGAGGGAGCAGATTAGAACCACATGGGGATTCTAACTATGAGGATTAGAGGATCTACGTCAAGCTCTAATTGATCAACTAGGACCAACTAGAACTAGAACATGAGAATTGGAGGAGACTCCAAAACTTGTGTCTTTTAGAAGTGCCCAAAGCTTCTAGTATATATAGGTTGGAGGGGAGAGGGGAGGCGCCACACAAGGGGAAGGACTCCCCCCTTGCGCCGGCCTAGTAGGGGAGGGAGAGTCCTCCCCCACTCCAATTCGGCGTCCCTAGGAGGATAGGGGGTGCCACCCCCTATTGGGCCCTTGTGACCCAATTCTCCTTCCACCACTTTGGCCTTTTAAGGCCCGTTAATATTTAATTAATTATAAAAGCCTCCTAACAACTACTAGAGCCTTTATTATTAATTTAACATCACCGAAACATTTTCCACCGATATATTATTTATCGGTAATACCCGGTATTGCCCAATAAACTCCGAAACCCTTCCGATGACCCCGAAACGCTTCCGATTCCTCTCGAAACTAATTTAAATATTAATGAAAAAATTAAACAAATAAATCCTTGATACTCTCATCCTACTAACACTTAGTATATCATGATTAGCTTAAGCTTGTGATCCTGTAGGTTCGGTAAAACATAGACATGAACGAAACCCCTTCGTTCAATGACCGATATCGGAACTCTGGACGTCCATATCGATCCCTATGATTACACGAATGACTGTAACCTTTGCTTGTCATGTGATGTCCCCTTTGCTTCACGATACTTTACAAAACCTGAGGTGAGATATGTTGGTATCGTCTTGAGTCGAACACATGCTCACTGTACCGGTCTCCTCATTGCTGGTTTTGTTTTTCTTTCTCGTTGACATGTTCTGGCATCCCTGTGACGTAGTCACTTGTGTCTAGCCAAATGATAATGGATGTCGTCACACCGAGAGGGACCTAAAAATATCTATCCATCGTCGAAGGAGCAAATTCCAGTCTCGAGCTATCGAGTCCCTTGTCAAGCTTTCTAGTGTAACCAGTAAGTTGTCGTTATGGTCATCATGTTACAAATGACATTTGAGCAACCCCAAAGCTCATCGTATAGTAAGAAGTGACTACGATACTCTCATGGTCTAAGGAACTAAAACACACGCTAACACTCCGTGTTATAATTAACAATTGACTTGTGATGATATCATCTAAAAGTATAACAAACAAGTTTGGGTCGATTCAATATGATCGTTCTTTTAACATCATACACTCATTGTTGTTTTAGGACTATCGTTTACACTTAACGATATCCTAAGATCCAGAAAACGTGATCACTAACAACACTTCAGCCAGTCTTATTTTACCATTTATCGTTCTACACGTGCATATGAGTTTTCCACTGAATCACATATTATAGGATCATAGCAGTTATATCATAGAATATAAACTCTTAATTATGAACATGGAAATATAATACTACAATATTATTGCCTCTAGGGCATACTACATTTAAAACAAACCATTTGTTACCTACATTCATCATCAAGTAGGATTATTTAAGATGCTAGATTAACTTTGCGAGATGTATGTAGGAAAAGACTTAATTAAAAATATCTAGCCCCCATACTAAAATTCGTCATACGCATGACCCCATGTAGATCAAATCTACATGCCCTCTAGTTTACAACAACTTTCCAGATTAAGGTGGAATCCAAAGAATTGAGAACACATCGTTGATCTGACAAGTGACAACTAGCATACTAGGAGCAGCATAGAAGGATCGCAGGGCATAACTTTTTTATAAAATTCCACCATGCCGCCAAGAACAAAATAAATCAAATTCTAGGGAAGCAACAAGAACATCAAGTAATAGAACATCCGTTGTTTCTCGATGAAGTTCGGTTCTCTGTGGCCATGGCCGCCACAACCTCCTCGCTCGTGAACTCCCTGTAGATTTGGGCTTTCTCCAACGGCTGATGCGGGAGGAGACCGAGGTTGTAACGCTGCTCCTCCTGCGCCTACCAGGACACCGGCTACGGCGCTGGTTGCTCCTCCGCCATAACGACGTGGAAGTGTGTCTGCACCTGCTCCATGGTGAAGCCGGCTCGTCGGGGGAGGCCTCCTCCATTGTCCGGTCATCGTCGGAGACCTCTGCATTCTCGGCCGGCGCGCCGCTTCAAGACGACTCCAATGAGAGGTCGCATCTACTCCAAACCGTCATGAATGTGGCGTTGGCCCTCTGGAGTGGCGCTGATAGGCATGAATGCATAGCAAGTGCTTCACACGGGAGGGGATTTTGGGAGGGTGCGGGGAGGATGATGCGTACGTGGCACTGATCCAGACGCTCGCAAAGCCCCCATGGTTTGTGTCTGTTTTGCAGGGAAACGGACATTTGGACCAGTTCGCGAACCGATGGGTACTACGATGAACGCCAAACTATGTCTGGACCTCTTGGTCTGGACGGTTGCGGGTGGTTTGTGATCTGCGTTGAAGATGCCCTTAGTACTTAGATTCTAGTTGCATCACTGTCTCTTAGAGCACAATAATCATATGAAGGAAAATTTTAACGTGGTCACTAATTAATGAGATCAGCGGCTCATATCTATTGTGTACTCTTACCTCTCATGTGAAAAGATGAGGTAAGAGGGACCATGTTAAAATCGAGCAACTCTCGGGTCTAAAGATCAATTTTCATAAAAGTGAATTGTTTTGCTTTGGCGAGGCTCAAGACGAGGCCCACCTGTACGCTGAACTGTTCGGATGCGGGTTGGGTCAGTTTCCGATCACATATTTGGGGATACCAAGACATTATTGGAGACTCACAAATGCTGAATGGAAACACGTCGAGGAGAGACTACAAAAAAGACTTAGCAGTTGGAAAGGTAAACTGCTGTCTCTGGGTGGAAGATTGGTCCTCATAAATTCGGTACTTAGTAATATGGTACTATATATGATTTCCTTCTTCGAGTTACCAAAAGGAGTTTTACATAGATTGGATTACTTCCGATCAAGATTCTTTTGGCAAGGAGATAGCGAGAGAAAGAAATATCAACTGGCTAAATGGAGTGTGGTTTCTCGTCCCAAAGACCAAGGCGGGTTGGGCATTCATGACCTTTAGGTTAAGAATAGGGCCCTCCTCGGCAAATGGTTGTTTAAATTACTAACGGAAGATGGTGTTTGGCAAACCCTCCTAAGGAGGAAATATGTGGGTTCCAAGGCGGTATCCCAAGTATATTGGAAGCCTGGGGACTCCCACTTTTGGGCAGGTCTAATGCCTACGAAGAAATATTTCTTCCGCTATGGATCCTTCTCGATTAAGGACGGCTCGGAAATTAGATTCTGGGAGGACAAGTGGCTAGGAAATGCCACACTCTGGGAACAATATCCGGCTCTATACAACATTGTGCGCCACAAAGGTGATACCACTAGTAGAAAAAGGGTCAAATATGAAGCACATTAGTGCCGGTTTGATTTTGAGCCAGCACTA